TATATATATATATTAAAAGATAATTACGTACTTAGCAACTCAAATATTATTATTAATAAAATTTAATATTAAGATGATAATTTATAAATTTTGATATTTGAATGTGAATTTGAAAAATAGATAAAGGAGGGCTAGATTTGTAAATATCAGTGTTTCAGGTGTTGTGCATGGGATTGCTCTTTTAAACATAAATAAAATCATAATTGAAAAAAAAAATTGATGGGAATTATGATAATTGAAGATAAAAATAGAAAAAAATTAAAAAAAAAAATCAATTTCTCAAATAAAAAAAAACAAAGATAAAAAACACTTTAAAATAAAATCCAATTGATAAAATTTGTTCTATATAGGGGCGTAAACGACCCAAATACGAACGAACTGAGCTCGTGTTCATGTTCGATTTGTTTGAAATTATGTGTGTTTGAAATAAGCTTGTGTTTGAAATTGTTCGTGAAGTTATTGTTCGTGTTTGGTTTGATTTGTTTGAAATATATTTGAAATGTTTGAAATGTTCAAATTGTTGGAATTGCTCAAAATCTTTCAAAAGCTAAAAACTATATGAAATTAATGCTTAAAATTGTATGAATCAAAACACAAATACAAAATAGCTAAAGCACAGCTCACAATAAAACCATAATATCATATCTCATTCATAAAAAAAAAAAATCAGATCTAGAGGCAATGTGCTTGATTTCAATCCCAAAAATCATGTTTCCCTCAAAGAAACTAAATAAATCTAAGAGAAATGTAAGAATATTTAATCTAAGAGACAAACCTGAAGATAAATAAGAAATTATAGAATTTAATATAAGCTAAGAGACGAAAGTGAAGATCATATTATAATTTATAAAATTTATTTTTTTAAAATTTGATAAATTTGTAGAGTATATAATTATTTTTAAAATATGATAAATTATATATATATATAATTATTTTAAATTATTTTATATTTCAAACAATAACGATTCGAACACGATCAAATAAATAATTATTTTTGTTTGATTCATTTATAAATCAAATGAAAAAAAAAAAATTCATATTCGTCTTATTTACTTATAGAACGAATCCAACCCAAATTTCCTGACTAGCCGAACACGAATTGTTTAGTGAACAATGAGCTTTTTTTTAGAGCTTGATTCGTAGGTTTTGACCAACCAATCCACACCACACCTCCTACACCGCAAACCCATAGTGGCAAAAGTCAAGGGTACATCCGGCTTTTTCCCCTCAGCACAATTTTTCCGCTTTAAGAAAGCTTTATGCGGTCAAGTGGTACGACCGGCGCAGCCTCTTTAGCTCCATAGCCTTCCTCTCCCACCGACATGGATCGCGACACCGACCTCTTCCCATCGTCGCCGACGAACTCCTCCACCTCCTCCTCCGATCTGGACACCATGGTAAGCGCAAGCAACCTGTGCTCCCCTCTATTAACAGCCATTTTCTGACTCTGTTCTCCGGCAGTCGACGGGATCTTTCTTCCACGACCGCAGCACGACCCTCGGCACACTGATGGGCCTCACTTCGCCGGGAATCCAGCCCACGCCCATTAGAGCAGCTTCCGGTCGGCGAGCCACCGCCGCCGCCGCCGCCGTTTTGCGTGGAGATGGAAGCGGGCGTAAGACGAAGGCTAGACGGGCCGGATGTTGGCGGCTGTGTGGCGGGGATGTGGGACCCACATCGCTGGAGGAGTTCTTGCGGGCCGAGCGACGGCTTGGGGAAAATTTTATGTGCGGCGATGTGGTTGTGGCGGAGGGCGGCGGAAGGTTGTTTATGGACGGGAGAGTTCTTCCTCCGCCGGCGGCGAGTTCTGTGGGGAGGCGGCGGAGGGAGGGCGAGGCGTCGGGGTCCATCGGAAGGCTGCCGGTGATGATAGCCGGGATTTGCAACGGCGGGGAGTGGTAGATTTGTAATTTTATTGCTTTTTTGGGTCGAATGAAAAAAATAAAACATTTTTTTTTTAATTTTTGTGAAACCTTTTTTCTTTTATTTTAAATGTTTTCTGAACTATTTCTTAAAAAAAAAAAAAATAAATAAATAAAAAACTATTTCTTTTAAAAGCCTGGCTCTGTAGGCGAGCAGTCGTTGCGTGTAAAATGACGCTGTCAGTCCACGAAATATTTATCTTCAATTGTCTTTTTCTCTAAATATGAAGTTCTTTTTGGGTTAATATGTCATTAAGTGATAACTAATTATTAAATGACAATTATTATGCTAAAAAAAGGACTCTTTACAGACATACCGCCCCAAACATCACTATTTACAAAAACTATTTTTCATCTATTTTTCAAATTTTCACCCAAATATCAAAATTTATGATAAAATCTCAAAATTTTTTTTCATTTTTATTAAATTCTCAATGATTTGAGAAAAGTTTAATGTTTTTTTAGGGAATTTGCATTATACTTATGATGTAATTTTGATCTATTTATATTTTAATGTCATAGTTACTTCAAAAATATTTTACATTAGAAATTGCATTACAATTATGGTATTTTGATGTGTTAATTTATAAATAAATATAAAAACTTTATATATTTGATATGTAAATACATCAAAAGTATGATGTTTGTGTATAAATCTACCCGTCTCCTCAATTGAAGACTAGGCTACAATACTTGGATTGTGGAAAATTTTGCGAAATGGTGGGGGATAATGGTTGATGGTCGAGCTATCATGATTGTTGATGTGGTGATAGCAATGAGACGATAATTATTATGCAACGATGAAAGTTATTATAGGAAGTTGTCATTTGGGTGATGACGAATGCTAGATATTAGTCGACGAATGTTGACAATAATTTGAAGACGATAATCATGTGACAATTGGTGGGCAACAATAGTATTGATTGGTTTATAGGGCTCTGCTATTATACATATTTTTTTTTAATTTTATTTAATTTAAAGTATCTTTCATGTGGGGTGGAATCAACTTTAAAATTTAATTTTATTTGAATTTTGTTTAAATTTATGATATATGATGATCACAACATATCATATAATTTCGATTTAGTATGTATGAATAGGTCATGCGTCCCCCAGCCATGCTCGATGAAAGGAAAATCAAAAGATATAGACATGTGGTGAGTGTTCATCCAATCAAATTAGTTTTTGGGTGTAACAGAATAAAAATAGAGAAAATGAAAATGGAATAGAAATTTAAATAATAAACGATAAAATTAAAATTCATTTAATTTTATTCTCTTATTTAGTTTGGGAGAAAGTGGATGGAACAATTTTTTTTTTCTTTTTAATTGATTGTCAAGAAACATGAATATGAGGATATGAACACCATACAACATACATCTAGATAGATAGATATATACATGCATGCATACATATACATACATACATACATACTTTAAAAAAAAAAGGAAATCGATATTTGGCAGTGGCCTAAATATCGATTTCTCATGCGCATCAATGCCCCATGAAGAAAACCCGCGCCATGTGCCTAACTATTCGAGAATCTCACGCTACTGGAATTGAACTTGTGACCCGAGAAGACTTACAGTGAGCCCCGCCAACCAACATGCCCCATACATACTATGTATGTATCTATGTGTGTGTGTGATATATATATATATATATATATATATATATATA